ATCAATAGACTTTTGCCGTATAAGTATACGTTGCCCAGGGTGCACCACGTGGAGGTAAGTCTATCCCACACCCCAGATAATACTTTGAATGAATCAATGTAAATCGAAAGTTTTAACTTATGTAACTGTAAGTTTAAAATTGCTCTGAATACTCCTTACTATTGAATGAGAGCAGAGGAAGGCGTAAAGTTGAAACTGTCAAATTTTATAAGTTCATTCACTTAATGTTTATTTATTATAAGGCAGTAGTTGCTAGAAGGAAATTTTTAATCTGAAAAATGCCTAAGTTTGGTACAAGGCAATTTTTCCAATACACTCGATTAAGAAAACCCCCTCTCCATTGATTTTAACGATTTCTAGGCAACATTACGGATACCACAGCCTGCCTAGAACTTCCGGACGCACTGCCGAGCAAATGAGGTCATAAGTGCAGCCACCTACTAGCCAATCAGGAATTAATCATCATTGCAGGGTTAGTGAACCCCAAAAGTCGTACTTAATGACTAGGCTCTTAAATGACAAACCGCGATAAACGCATTCCACGTCATACATTCGGCTACCCTGATATTTTCAGGAGCCATCCCATACATGGGGATTATCGGGGGTCCGCTACGTGAGCTGCACAACTTCAGGTTTGTAAGTTCAATCTTTGCATAAGTCGAATGAGTTAATTTTTCCAACATAATATGTTTTTTCCCATGTTAGATGGTGAAAGAATCAATGATAAATTGTGCAATAGAAGCCACTTAAGTCAGGTTTGGAGTCATGAGAAATATTTTTTCAAGTGGGGTTCATTATAACGTGACAGTCAATAGGTACATTTGTAAGATCAGAGGATGTGAGACTGGTGCTCGTCAGTATGCATCATTTATTGCGGTTGACTGGTTGTGATTAGCAATCCTGATCAATACTAAGAGTGGTGAATTGTGTGCTTCTAAAAGAATGCCAGTGATGAATTCAATAAGGCAATTGTGTGCGCGAAATACGATGCAAAGTTGGGTGAAGTGCGGATTACTACTCTTTGAAGAGATAATTCCAATTTGTCAAGATTGTATGTGAAAGATTGTGAATAGCTGCTTCCTATACCTCCAGTACTTGGTGCAACGATTTGCTCCTTTAAAATCGATGATCGATTAATCGAACCCAAAATGGTTTTCAGTGTTAGTTTCGGTAACATCACTTTAGAAGTGAATGACAAATCTTAATTTTATTTTGCAATCTTTACTCGCCTGTCATTTAAAAAAATCTTCTCGCCTGATTTGTGTTCTATTATTTTCTTTTCATGTTAGACGGAGGTTTCAGCAAAAAACCACATTCCTAAGTCTACTGTAAATTCAAAGTAAATGTGCATGGAAGCCGAAGTATTTTCAAACAGAGGGCTTGCCTGTATTATTTACTAACAAAATCTCATAAAGCCAAACTTCTTTCAGATGAACAAGTGGCTCACTATAAATGTGCGTGCCGTTTAAAAATTGAAGCAGCTGAAATCTTTATGTGAAAATTAAACAAAATTAAAACTAGGCCTCACTTTCAGTTTATTTAACTATATGATAAATAAGTTTGTACTCTAGCTTTTGCAACTTCAATTATATCACTGTAATCTAAATGAGTTTACAGATTAGATAAATACTTGAATGTCACCGTTTCCTCGTATCGAAAGATCAAACCTCACACATCTGGAAAGAGTAAAATCGAGGTGATTAAGCCCAAAATGCATAAAAATGGTGTCAAAAGGGGGCGTGGTTAAACAAGTAAGCCTAATCGAAATTTGTGGTTAAAAGACCAACGTCGATCAAAGTACACTCAATGATATAGCTGGCCAATTGCACTTCATTTTTATTAGCAAACAGGAGGAGTGGTAGAACACAAGTTTCCAAGACCGCCTGCCTTAAGAGGGCGGGCTGAGATACTTTGTGATCAAATAGGAAAAAATTATTTATTTCAAATGGCAGGCGTTTTGATAGATATCATTAGACATTTAGCTGACTTCGGGTTTCACAGAGGGAAAGTTCATCAAAGTAGCAGAAAGTCGAGGGGTGGGGAACAGAAGAGCGATTCACAGATGTAAAAGAGGCAGACAGACACAAAGGTAGAGAAAAAGGTAAGGTGAGTACTGTGTATGGGGTCGAATATGACAACCAGGGGGGTCGTGGTAATTTGAAGTGAGAAGTCAACTGCCGGTTAATAGACTTTTTTGCCGTATGAGTATACGTTGCCCAGGGTGCACCACGAGGAGGTAAGTCTATCGCACACCCCAATATGAAAAAAATAAATTGTGAAAATT